TTTTATTTAAGCATCAATAAACCATATTATCTGTTTCTCTTCCTCTCTCTAAATATATATGTAGTGGGGGAGTTGAAGATGCTAAATAACAATTCCAACGTTGTTTTCCACACCACAGAACATTTAATAAAGGTAATCAGAAGAAGGTACAGATTAGATTAATCACAAGTGCCGTTTGATACAAACAGGATTCTGTATAGTTTTACCAGTCTTATCACATAACCGATTAGTGCTTACTCGCACTTGCTTATGTTATAAAGTCAATTTACCACCTTCGCGTGGAAAACTACAGTTCTTTATTCTACACCTTCACGTGCAGACAGACATCTCACCACCTTCGCGTGGGATAGCAGAAGAGTCTGTCATACTCCTTTCACCTCGCTGCTGGCGCATCGGTGAGGCCCTCTGGTGGTTGTGTCGCACTTCCAGATACTACATATATATATAGGTGTGTGTATTTACATTAATAGATATAATCTTGTTTTCACAAATATTTGAAATAAAAAGTGAAGTAAGCGAATTTTTCAATGCAACAAATATCCTAAATTGTTTACTTTCATACATATGGTTTCTATATTTATGTCATGTTCTTTTATATTCATAACCAAAACTTGAGGCAATTAAAAAAAACAGGTATATAAAATTACAAGGTTACTTTATGCGCATTAATAAAAATTTAAGATTGGACATATAATATCTTGTATTTTATAGTAATTATTTTTTTAAAAATTTATTTCTAGTTCCACATAAGATTTTTTTATTTACTGCGAAATTTTTTTAAAAATTTTTCATTACACTCAGAAAAGTTTATGCTCCGAATTTTATGAGTTATTAATATTGTCATAAATGATCATCTTTTAATACTATGATAATAATTTTGAAAACAGAAAAAATAAATAAAACAATCCTTGGTTTCTATAAACATTTGAAATGATAAATATTTGCTACTACTGCCTGAAAATGTTTATAAAATTTTTAAAAAAAATTACCAAATCTTGTTTAATTTTACCTTATTTGTTTCATAGCATCATGTACTATCAATCTTACTTAATTTTACTTTATTTGTAGGCAAAAGTAAATTCATAAATTTTTTGTTTAGAGTTTTTACCGTTTTATCAAAGTATAGTTAAAAAGAAAAAAATATAGCTAAAGGGCGGATTTACTATTCAAAATTTTTTAAAAAGGTATTTTCATAAAGGAAACGCGAAAGAAAGGTGAATTTTAGAGGCGAAAGTGATGATGAAGGTGCTCGAGAAAAAAAAAGGGGGGGGGGAGATTCTGAAAATATTTGCCAAAACTTAGAGCCAACCTGGAAGGCCACAACCCTTCCGACGCCAATAGGAACGAGATGCCTGGAAAGTGCATTTTCAATAAACTGTGGCTTCATCAAGCTGACTACAAAGACTGGATATTGATGGATGGCAATCCTTAAATGTGGTCTTTGTCTGAAACAAATTGAAATTTCTAGAATGGGAGAGTCAGCACTGAAAATTCACATTAAAATTAAGTTTCGTTTTATCATTTCAATTTGTTTTTACACGGTTTTGCTTAGCTTAATTTCTGTGTTTGTTTCAATTAAGCCATAAATTAATTTTTTATCACCTTCTACGGAGTTTATTCTCTTTTGCACATACTATATGTATGGGATATCGGGATTATGAGTTTATTTCTGCAGAGGGTCTGTTATCGATTTCGCGGGAAATCTGTTGGCTCCATTTCGATTTTAGGTCGCCAAGGGCAAAATCGGTAACGCTAGCTGAGAAAAAGTGAAGTTCGGAAATACGTTTTGAAGCTTCAATAGACAATTAAGTATTTGGTTTAAACCTATGTTGTTTGATAGTAATGCATAATTTTTGCTAATGGCGATACAATTATTAGTTGAAAATAACTAATTAAAATTTTTTTAAATATTTTTAAAGCTGAAAACAACTAATTGAAACTAATTTTCCTGAATTAACTAGACGCAAAATTAACTTTCATGAATTACTAAAGTTATTGGGTAGAAGTTTAACTGAAAATATACATTCCGTATTATATATATATATATATATATATATATATATATATATATATTATACAGTGTACAAAGTCCGAGGTCTGGACTCGTCGGGACTTCGGCGATCCTAGATTTGAGATTTTTCCGGATATTAGATCATTTTAAATCTACTAAGATGGCACGTAGAAATTATAAAATTGAAAATATGAAATCGTGATTTATGAAATAATGAAGCATTTATGATTTAAAGGGTATCAAAATTTACAAAAGAAAAGAGCTTAATATTTATATGTTTACTTTAATAAACATTTCTTTCAATGTGAGTTGTTTGATTTGTTTTCTCTGCTAATACTTTAGACTAATACTATAGACATATAATTTCTTGTTCAGTTATTAAGTTCCATTGTTCAAGTCCTGTAATTGCTGTGTCGAGAATTCCGAATAACTTGTCAATCAAAATTTTTTCTCGTTCAGTAACCTCTCTGTTACTTTCTTCACTATCGGTAGCTGTATTTTCTGGATTTAGAACCATACTACAGATTTCCGCCCTCCGTTAATTGATTGATGATTGGGCATTGTCATTGCAATGAAAAACTTCTGTTTAACTTCGCTAAATTCTGCCGCCTGGTGCGGCCATGCGAGCTCTGGAGCTGGTTCTGGCTTTATGTGAATAACAAATCAGTTATTCTTAATTCAAATAGCACTAAATATAATCGTTTGTCCTATGAGTATCATTAACAAAATCTATTTTTAGCATAAGGAAAGAAATTTCTGCTAAATCTCCCCTTGTCAACATTTTAGCGCATTAAATTTAAATCTGTAATCGTATAATACTCTGTTATTTGGCATCGCTGCATGATTCATCACTCAAGTTGTCATTCGTTGATAAACATGCGGTGATGAAAGCAAAATACAATAAATAATGATTCGCGATTTCGGCATCAAGGATATAAAATATTAGTTGGTGTAAAATTAACAAATGTTTCGGTTTGAGATTATGCCAAGCAGATACGCAGCTATGGAGTCAAGTTACTAATCACACAAATTTATGCTAAAATAATTATTTCTTCAATAATGAGATATTTTATTTAGCACCAAACTGAAGATTAAGAATCGGATTTCTGGCATGTTTTTTTATGATGAGGAAAAAAATCTAATGCGCGTGCGTAAAGCATACCCCTTCCCTTCAAAAAAGCCCTAAAAAATTGGTTGGTGGTGGCTTTGAGGTCCAGATTTTAGATCATTCCAGATATTAGATGTCCGGATCTCGGACTTTATATATATATATATATATACATCTTTCAAAATATAACTTACCAGTATGGATTCACTCTTTTAAAATAATTCTACTTTAATTAAACTTAGGAGATAATATAATCAATTAATCTATATTGTTTAGGAAATAAATTATATATATATAGTAAAAAATGTATATTTTCACTATTCAAGTCTATATCACACTGTGTACAAGTATTCTTATCTTGTCACATGAACAGGCCTCTGTGGAAAAGGGGCTTCTCTGAATAAATAAATAAAATTATAAGCAATTGAATTTGCTGAAAATTTTCAAGTGAAATTGATAAACTCATCATACATTTTACATCAACGAAATTCACAGTAAGCTTACTTTTATAAATTGATTGCACATAATTCGAATTTTCAACATTAACTGAAATAGAGCTGTGAATTCTTAATATATGCGAAATCTAATAAAAAATGAGATTCATTAAGATCAGATTATGAGACTTCTGCAGTATTCAGTGACAAGTCAAGAACAGTCTGTGAAAGTTCTCTGTAAATAAAGCAATTGAAATTGAGTGACAGTATTTGATTACATAAAATTTTCTGAAATATCGAAATAATAAAGAAATGAGATCAGCAAAAAAGTCTTAAGAAGAGTAAGAAGAACAAAAATCTTTAACTAAATCTGAAAATTCAAAGAGGAAAAGAAATATTATTGAAGAAGAAATTGATTATATGAAGCAGAAGAAAAACTTTCCTCAAAGGGACATTAAAGACATTAATGAAGAAGTAGATGCTTTAGCAGATAAAGCTGAGACCATCAGGAACATTGATTTGTTTATCAAAGCAAATGAACTTAGAAGAATAGTTAAAGAAAAGGAAATAGACATAAATAAATTAGATGTTAAAATAGCAAAAGATTTCAGATTTAAAAAAAGCACAAATGTTTTGTATCTTTTATTGTACAGTTTATTATTCTAGTATCTTTCAAAAAACCAAGGAAATAAATTGTATGTTTACAAATCAGTTATTTTAATCTGCAAAATATTCTTACATTGTGATTATAATAGTAGTTGACTATGTTTAAATAAATATCAAATAAGTTAAATAATAATCATGTAAATCTCTAAAATAGTGACTGTTATTAGTGTAAAATACACTTATACATGTTTTTCAAGAAATTATGTTCCTCATTTAATGTTATCTACTTCATAACTTGTAGGGAGTTAGTTTAATTTTCAAAATTGTTTTATGGTAAGTATTAAGTTGAATTTAATAATAGTGCATAATACACACTTCTGTTAGTTTTTTAAAGTGAAATTACAAGCATGAAGTCGGTTGTATGGATAATTGCTTTATTCTATTCATTTTTTTTTTTTTTTTTGTTTTTGTTTCTGATAGGTCCTTAATTTTTTCTTTGATGGTCCTTAAAAGTCCTTAATTTTCATATAAGGAAATGTGTACGAATCCTGTTTAGGAGATATTATTTATTTTTGTTTAATATAAATTAAAATCTAGTAAAGTTTTATTCATTGCTTGGATTTTATGGTTATTTTATATATAACATTAAATAATTCTAACTGGAAATTTAACATATATATGAAAGGATAATTTTTATGATATATATTTCTTATATATGTTAATATAATTTATAAATACTTTTCTGTGTATTCTATCTTGCGAAATGAATATATATATATTGTATTTCAAGATTTGGCAATATAATTTATCAAAAATCTTGTATTTGATTTAATTTTTATAGGAAGACCAACTAGGTATTTCTTTATTAACACTCGAACAGCTTGAATCAGAAGAAATTAAAAGAAAGATTGAATCTCGAGTGCAGTTATTGTAAATAGTTGTATTATTTTTATATTAAAGTTTTTATAGCATTTTTAATGGTTTTGCTTCTTTAAAATTTCTTTGTGTTTCTGACCTTTCATAAACTATGCAGTTTGTGGACCTATGGATCTGCATTTGCTAACAATCATACACAGTATGAAATTATGTGCCTTTATACAAGCTTAATCATGCACATGTACATGCATGCACCCTCATATGTGCATACATATGTAATACCGTTCTTGTTTCTTAATACCTTGAGCTATTTAAAAAATATTTAAAAGTTTCACATTCTGTTTTTAAAAGCTATAAAAAATATCTACAAGGCACTAAAAAAGGGAAGTTTTTTGTTCAAATACAAATCTTATTGGTCTTAGTATAATATGAAAATTATTAAGTATTGTGTATATTAGAATGCTTCTAAACTGTTCTGAATGGAAGAATATTTAAATTAGAATGAATTAAAGTTGTGATGATAATCCAAAGATGAATAACACTTACCAAAAATTCACCTATATAACAAAATAATTCTTGAGACTGGAAAACAGTTATACATAGATGCGTTGTGTATAATTTATTTTTGCACCTGCAGTTATATGCTTGCAATTACAAAAATGTTTCAAATGATGGAAATATTCATGTTTTAGCATTTTTTAAGTAAAAAACCTTCACTTTTGCAAAAATTACAAAAACAAAATCTAACTTTTTTTATGGTCTTTCGGTCCCATTTTTACAAAAATTTTATACTCATTATGTAAAATAAAATATAGATTATGCGATTCCAATATGACAAAAATTGACCAAGACCTATAATTTGAGATAATATTCAGAGGGCATACATAAATTGAAGACAAATTTTATTTGGTTTTTATGTTCATACATTTTTGTGATTCAAACATAGATTCATATTAAATTTATTTATGTTATGAATTTGTAATAGTGTTCATAATGCATGAAGTACACATTAAGGATAAAAATTATCTGACTTTAATTCTAGGCTCAAACAATAGTCTTTTTAGTCTATTAATGGAATAGTTTGGATAAAATCTGCGTATTAAAAAAATATAGGTGCTACTTTGGTAGATGGTTGCACGGATTTTTGGCACAATTGTTGGCGCAGTTTTCACAATCGAAGAGATGAATAATAAAATTTTAAAATGGTGCCGTAATGCACTAATATTCAATAACCAATCAGGAAACTGATTACAGCTCGTTAATGCACAAATATTCTGTAACCAATCAGGAAGCTGATTACATCACGCATAGAATTAAAATTATTTAAATAATCATACATAATAAAATCATTTTTCGAAAAAAAAATGCAAAATTAAATTGTATTTTAATATTTAACAGCCATAAATAATGATTAAAACATTAGATTAAATTTATAGATATTAAAACCATTTACTTTTAAAGCAAGGTGATGTCATTGATTACATCATCCACAACGTAAAATATCATAAACTATAAAATTTTTATTTCAAATAAAAACGCAAAATTAAATTGATTTTTAATATTGAGAAGCCATAAATAATATTTAAAACATGGAATTTATGTATAATAAAATGCATTATTTTTTAAATAAAATGACAAAATATCGATTACCATAAATTACTTCTCCAGCAATGGGTTTACTATAAGTGGTATCGCTCATAAAAAAATAATAATAATAATAATAATAATAATAAATAAAAATAAAAAAAAAATCGCCAAAATCCATGCAACCGTCTACCAAAGTAGCACCAAAATATATATAAAATATCCAATTGTGATTTTAAGATGAAGGTTTATAATTTTGAAAATTGTGATGAAATTTCATGAATTAGAGAAATTCATCATGGAACTTATTGCATTTTCTACTTGATTAAAAATTTGTTTTGTATTACTAAATATATTTATAAAATGAAATTTAATTTGAATATTCTGTAAAGCAGTGGTCTCAGACTCAAAATTGCATGCTCATCGCTAATAATGACAGCTAGATATTAAATTTTAGATTGACGTTTATTTCATGTAATTCCAGTATGTTGAATTAACTACTAAATTACTTTTAATCTTAATCTGAAAACTAGAAATTTTCAAGTACTGAAGCGCCATCAGCAGTTGGCTGACAAACTAAATTTATTGACTGTACCAACTTGTGAAATTCTCCCACATTTCCCTAGTCATATGGCCTGATGTATCAGGATACAGTGGCAAAGCCAAAACCCCAACCTATTCATTCTGTCATTTTATTTCAGTACCAGTTGCATACACAAACTTAGTCCACATCATTTTCTGTCTAAAACTATAAGCACTGTATTTGCAAAAAATATACATAACTGAAATATATTCATGGACCACTTCAGGGGGCAGTGAGTTGGAGACTACTGTCATAGAGTACATAGTGTAATGACAACAAAATCTAAGGAATTTCACAAAATTTATTGAAACTAAAGCTTTTGTATAAATTAATTCCGCTAAATTATTCAATGGACACTTGAAATAATTTTTTTCATTGTGAAATTACTGTGGTATCAGAACATTTTAGTGAAATTATACTTATATAATAAATTTAAATACAATAGGATTTCAAGGCTATCTGAACAAAAATGATGCAGTAAGGGAAATCCAAATGATAGGGTTTTCTCTCTCTCTCTCTCTCTCTCTCTTTTTTTTTTTTTTCCTATACCCCTAAAATGCATTTATTATAATAAAAAGTGAAGGATTTTTATATTCTGTGTTTTCTACTTCCTTTTTCAATGAAAATCCTACAATTTAAACAAATTGCCAAACACGCTTCTAAGAAAATGCAATTGTGAAATTATTTACTTTTTTGCTAGAGCACTTATTTGGCATATATATATATATATATATATATATACCATATAAATATTAACACAGCCCATGTTCTGTACAAATTAAACTAAAATAAATTAATTTTTATTTATAGAGGCCTTAAATGCATGATCCTGTTTTTATTGTACAAAAAGTAAGGAATTTATTTATTATTATTATTATTATTTGAATAAAAAAAGAGCAGGACTTATTTAACAAAAATTAAAAAAGAAGACATTATTTTTAATGAAATAAAATAATAAAATTAATAATATAATGCATATTTAAAAAACTCCTTATTATGGCTAATATGGTAAAAAAAGATCTATAGGCTTGTGTACAATACATTGTATATCTAATTCAAACATCATTTAATTTATCTAATTAATTTAATAACCTGTTAAAACTATACATTATACTGTTTTACCTTTCTTTTCAATGGATCCCTCTCCAAAAAAGCATAACGGCAGAATAAGGAATAAAAATTTTAGTTTTGTAGTATTACAAACTTATATATAAAGATGTATCAATAGTTGAGTTTTGTCTAATAATTAAATTTGAAGTTTCTTGTTAATTCTTTTTCTATGCATGTTGCAGTGGTTGAAGGTGAGAAGAAACTGTTTTCCCAAGAGAAGTAAAAATACAACTATTTCCTTTGAACAACCAAATTAATGAATTCAAGCAATATGTGTGTATTTAGTTTTGAAAGGAAGACGGAGATTGATTGTGAATCTTATTGAAGAATAAATATGGAGATTGATTGTGAATCTTATTGAAGAATAAATATAGCAAAATCGGCTTACCTTTTGTGCACTCAGTAGCAGCAGTTGAGTCTCTGAAACTTTATTGATGATGATGTGAGGGATTTATCCATAAATAATACGATTCAGATTTAAATACAAATAACATATTTATTGAACTGCAACTAAAATAATATAAGCGATAGATACATTACTGTTAATACAAGCACATACAGAAGCTTAATAACAACTATAGAACAAGAGGATCATGGGATAAATTAATATCACGTGATTAACATAGTTGATGTGTTTGATGTCCGTGTATCTTGGCATTTTTTTAGGGTTGCCAGAAGTGAGTTAGAAAAACATTTTATTTTTTTATTCTCAAATTCTTGATTAATTTACAACACTTATTATGTAGCAAATACTGTGCATTGTTACTGCAAAACTGAAATTCATCTTTTTAAGTTGTCAAAATCATTATTTGAAGTTGTGACTCTTCTTCATGAACCATCATGGAGTGCAATGATCATTTTAAACTTCCTTCTATCTGTAAAGTTACCACCAAGAATTTGTTAAGTGCGAAATACTTCCTTACAGGAAATATGATATCACGTCTGTTGTAATTATGCAAAGTGGATTATTATAAATTTAATCCGTGTGCCTTTCTGTGCCATCATTCCTAGAAATTATTCATGCCAAAAGTTTAGGTCCATCAATATAATTAAAGATTTGGACCATATTATAGTGGTACAAATTTCTTTTAACATAACATTTATAAACATATATACCATATTATAGTGGTACAAATTTCTTTTAACATAACATTTATAAACATATTATCTAATTAAAAAGCATGTGCATTTTGATGATACATCATTATGATTGCAAGTGAAGTTTAAAGAGACATACATCATTATGATTGCAAGTGAAATTTTAGGATATTTATCAATTAATAAACCAAATTTGTAAAAAGTAGACTGTGTAGCTGAAGTATGGATAACTTCTGAATATATTTTTTATATGTTTAAAAACTATCACAGATTTCAAGATATTTGCAAATGCTGTTTTATGGATAATATCTGTAAAAATTCACCTTTGTTTCATGTTGATTTCAGTTGGTTATATGTCGTTTGAGAAACATGATTTCTGAAAATTTTCTGATTGAAAATCAGTGCCAAAGCCTGAATTTTGGCCAATATTAATTTTGTAGTATTGTAATAATGATTTGATTTGTCCTTCATATTTGTAGGGTGAGTTTTAACCATTATTTTTACCTTTGAATTATTTTTGTTCAGTAATATCTTTGAGTAGAATTTTAATTATGAAATTTTTCACAAATTTTATTAATTGCTACATTTTTTTTTTTTTTTTTTTGTTTAATTTAATTTCTGCATTCAAATGATGTGCTTGTGGTGTATATGAAAGTATAAAATTTAAAGAAAGAAAAGAATCTAAATAATTTTCTTCCATGGAGAGCAAAATTATAATACCAAACATTACAACAAACTTTACAACAAAATATGAAAAGAGTATGAAAACACTAAAATAAAAGTTAAGTAAATAGCTAATATGTTGTCATCCAAATTAATGTAAAGAACCATGGAGAAAGGAAAAAGAAGTCCAACAAATAATTTGTGAAAAGCTTAATTAATGGGTTCTGTGTTAATAATTAACTTTGTGCAATAATTTTCTCCTCTCAGTTAAAAGTTGTTTCTCCTAAGCTTGCATTATTTTCCAATCAGCTTGATTTTTATTATGTATGTCGCAAACATTTATTTCTTACAAATCATTTTCTATTTTTCATTCAAGATATAAAAACAGTTTCCGTATCAATTAAGCATCTTTTCACATCAATCTTCTGAGTTCTTTGTGCAGCTATGCTGTCAAAATGCAATACTGCCAGAAATTTCGTTTCAGAGTGGCATGATTCCCTTCTGCCTTCGCATTAATCCAACAAAAAATTCTTTAATTTTCAGATGCCATTATTTGTAGCATTTCACAAAGAATCTATCGAGAATTATTCATTGAAGAAAATTCCTGCCTATTCTACATTTGAAATCTTGTCCAACATACTTAGTGTGGGAGAATTCCAAATTATGCTTCCACTTTAAAGATATGTTGCACAGGGATGGCAGGAGATCATGCAATGGTCAATCTCTCTTAACTCCTGAAGCATTTCCTCTGCCTGAACGGCGAACTGGATTGTTTTCATTATTTTAGATGAAAAGCAGTAATGCATACATTAATAAGAAAAGGACTGAAGCCTTTTAAGTAACAGTGGTGTTTGCTATATTAATATATATTAATAATATTATTGACTAGACATTACAATTAAATGGGTGGCTTCTACATATGATGATGAGGAAGTTTCTTATGGGAAAGCTGCGAGAAGTGCTGTCATTTTTTATTTTTAACTCATTCTAGGTCATAGTTGATCAAACACGATCACCAAAATCAGTTTTTCCTTCATAGTCGTATTGTGGCATTTTCTCCTCTTCATCCAAATTTTTTTCACCAATTCGCTGAATATCTGTCATGCATCTGTAGGTTATAGGATCGTTTCACTTTTAAAATCAACATAAAAATATAGCGGTTCTTAGTGTTCCCCCTTTTTTTCTTCTTTTTTTTAATACCTCATAAGTTTAATTTTCTGTTTTAAATTTAGATCTTCCAAAATGCCATTATTGCATATTAAGACATGAATGAACAAAACACCAAATTTATGATGAAATATAACAAATTATGTCTATTTTGCTTAGAATTTACATAAGTTGGCTATACAGAAGAAGGCAAGAAAAGAAATGGGAGAGAGAAAAACAACATTAAGAAAATGAAATCTATACAAAACAATGTAATATTTTAATGGAAATCTTCACTACTTTCACACTACAAATCCATTAAGTCCAGCCTATGTTGCTTTGGAGAAATAAATATTATAATAATATTCAGTTCATAAATTATCTCTTCATCCAGTGCAAAGATAAATTTTGACAAAAGTAGTACTTTTCTGTAATTGTGGTAACTTAAGACGAACGCTTGACCTGCTACAACATATTGAACCTGGTTGATTTCAGTTTTTCGCAGAATTGTATCGGAATTAATGATCTTGAATCTGGGTGAATTGCCTTTCGTTTGCTTGAGATGCCCATACTAACGAATTCAAAAATATTATTATTGCATAGTTTACTTTCACTGTTGAGCTATAGCTCCAAGAATTTCTTCGTGCTCTTCTCGCCAAAACAATGGAGAATGTTCATTGGACGATATTCATTTCGCATGGAGATATCATGTCAATACCTTTTCTGTTCTGCACGAAGATTAACACCACTCATGTTACCATTTTGTCAACGGAATTCCGAGGAATTCTTAGCTACAGAAGAAACTCTACTGCATTTGTCCCCTTCCATATACATATAGATTTCATAAGTCTCCAACATATGGCATAATTTAAGATGAAATACTATCACAGCAAAGTTTCCTTCTTTGCCATTTGGTACTGCTGTTTTTAGCAGTTCATTTTAAATATATGATTCAATGCTCTATGTCTTGAATTCTGGAAGATTAATTTTGCAATTGTTGAGCTTAAAATTTTTCTTAGGTCTTTAAAACTGAACTTCTTAGGGTTTTTTTTTATACGATTTTTAGATTTTAAAAATTTTGGTGAACCTTTTGAAATGTGATAGCAAATTCTTCGATTTATTAGACCGTAAATTAAAACTTTTAGATTGCAATTTAATTCGTAGAATTTATTTATTAAGCAATTTAGTAAATCAGCTCTGTGATGGGCTTTGTTACAATAAAAATTGTTTCTAAGTCCATTTAAGAATATTTTAAATGCATTTCAGAAAATTCTTATTTCTCTTTGTTTTGGTTTTTTTTATATCATATAAACTTTTTCAAAGCTGTACTGTAGTATCGTTTTAAGCTCGATTTCATTACCCGCTTTTTTCTAGAATGGAATGAATAATTCATTTTCGGGGTTTCCTTCTTCAGGATGCTTGCATATTTAGGAAGTAGTCTACCAATTGCGCGAAATTTAATTGAGATCAATTAGATTTAATCGTGAAGACCCCTGTAGTGTCCAAGGGGAGAGAAGATCTTCTTTTCCTTAATGAAGTCGCTAAATTCTCCCGGCAAAAGGATCGTTTTCCCGCCTTTGAATCCGCGCAGTTAGGCTATATCAATTTTGGAAGTTGTACTATGCCTAAAATTTCTCCATTTACCATTCCTATGATAGCTACTTCTATTTTCAGGTATTGTTCATATTCTAAATTTTGATTATATAAATACTGCAGCCATTTCATTCCTTTGTAAAATCTTGGGCAAAGCAGATTTTGTTGTCAGGGAGACACACTCATTTTGACTTCAGTGAGTATCTTTCGAATTGCGAGTTTTCCCTTATAACACTGTCTATAAGTCTCAAATAATGAGTACCGGTAAAGTTTTAAGTAATGAGTTTTATTTGGTACGTCAACTTATGAAGGAGTGACATTTCGCTGTATAACCACCCGCCTACTTGCAAGAAAATTTGAAAAAATCCAAATCAATGCGTGCTAAGTTTTGATTTCGTACAAGGGTGGAGAGTTTTAATATTCTCTGAAAAATCTTGAAATATATTAAACTCAATGAGAGATCTCCAATGCAGAACATATTAATGGTATGTATTGGACCTCCTTCGCAAAGGCAAATTTGCATAAATGTATGTGGTTTGATTTCTACAAATGCGTAATTGTGTGTGACCTGGGATGATGTCGCTGCACTTATTAACTGGATGTGGTTTTGTTGTAATTACTCTTATTGATAATTGCTTTTTCACGGTAGGCCTTTTTTCCCTATCTAAGCGGGGGCAGATTTACGTAACTATATGTGATATTTGCATTATGTCCCTAAACTTATTACTTGGATGCGGTTTTAATATAATTAAAAAACTGGGTACTTACGTATTATCGCAACCAGGCCAAAATTCGCATAAATTGCGAAATTTGGCGACCCTACTTACGGCAACCCTACGTGTTATACGTAGTTTTGTAAAAAGAGCATGTGGAGATTCACAAA